AAACTGATATCGCTGTGATCATTGTATCATGTATATGGCTATATACGCGGACAGAAGGACTGAGTCATGTATTGGCTTCTGATTAGTTCGAGAAACTAAGACTAAGAGAGCTTTAGTCTGCTAGGCTGACATGTGCTTTTCAGTTTTCTTTAGTCGAACGTGATCTAAAGATCAGATTTTTCGTCAGCATACTGAAACAGAGACTTATTATCTGACTAACAATCAAATAATTGTTTTTTTTAACTGCGTATTGATTTGATTGATCAACTATGGATGGTGATATAATTGATTGTCGTTTTTTCATTTTAGGCTATTTTAGAGAAAAAGGAGAAAATTATCATATCGATGCAGACGAAATCAAACGATATGCAGGTAGAGCAAGTAATATGGCAGTGATTAAAAAATTACAAAGCGGTCTACCGAAAGGTGAAACGCGTCAGTCTCACTTTTGTTACGTACAGTTAGTCGGAACGATACCCGGCTACGGTCGAAGTAGCGGAAGTGATGATGATGATGAAAGAATACCTCGTTCGTCACTCAAGAAGCAACAAAATCCGGTCTCTCAGTACTCCGATGATGATGATGATGATGATGAAAGAATACCTCGTTCGTCACTCAAGAAGAAGCAAAATAGGATTTCTAAGTACTCCGATGACGATGAAAGGATACCTCATTCACCATTCAAAGAAAGGCAAAGTTCGCCCCCTCGATACTCGGCAAAAAAGGATGTATTAGATTTGGATTCAAAAAAAGGATCGGCCCCTTTAACAAGTTCACCCGCTAAGTCATCGCAAGCCTTGTCTAAAACACCGTCATTGAGTCTAGCTAATGCAGTCCTTCTTCAAGATATCGACGAGCTTTTGGAACAACGCATTAACTACCTTATTTTCGAAGACAATTTTACACCGACACTAGCCAAAATTGTCAAGCGTGACCATGGAGTATACTCATTCGCTCAGCTTCGCGATATTTGTGCAAGGTTTGAAACACCTGCAGCGATGGGTCAGCACAATAAGAGGAGCCGCAATACAAAGTCATACTTTACTAAGATGGTTGATAGAAAAATTTCAGACGATGACGCTCGAGCTTTTGCCTTTGCCATCGCATTTTACACAGGTTCACAAAGTGAAACGATTAATCAAGGTGTAGCTTTAATTGTGCGTACCACTTTTGCCGAAGCTATGGTCAATGGTCAACATGAAGAGGTTGGGGAAGATGCAGCCATTATAATGTTCTATCTTGTACGAGCTTTATCTCATATCAAATTTTTTTGGGGGACAGTCACTCGACGTGTTCAGCTGACGAAGGAGGAATTGGAAGACTACAAACCGGGAGCAATAATCACCTGGCTTCAATTTAGTAGTTCAATGAAAGGCGAAATTGCACCGGAAATTTTTCAAAATCGCAACACTCAATTCACTATAAAGTCACTTACAGGAAGAAGCATTCAATACTTTTCCAACTTTCCTGAGGAGGATGAAGTTCTCTTCTTGCCGCATTCATCATTTCTGGTCAATTCAGTCGAGCACATTGATTCTACATATTACATTTCTATGGAACAGGTAACGAAAAATCAGTCGAGATTAGATCTGTCGTACGCTGACTTTTAACCAATCATTTTGAACCAAATATGTCAGATTTGGTTTAAAGATGGTTGTAGTTGTTAAATATAAGCATAGAATCAACTGAGCCAAGATACTTTGTACCACAACATACTCTCATGAGACCGCTTTAGAAAGTCCTTAGGAAATCTTAGCATCGAGCTTGAAATCTGGTATTGCGAAAGACTTTTTTGGATTCTTGGTTGAGTGGATAAAAGAGAGCAGACTTCTTCAAGTGACATGATTTTCCATAGTTTTCAGCTAACATATCTCGTCTTTGTAGAACAGAATATGATGTGATCTCAAGGATTTTTCTCATCTGTTAGTTCAGCCGTTACACAGTTAATAAACGAACCCAATCTTTATCATGTGACTACTACATTTCAATAAATTTGAGGCGTTGACTATAGCACAACCACTCATTTCAAAGCATAAAAATTTAGTACGAAATCACTTTGAAATGGTTTCGATATGAACCTCTCATTGGAATTTTTCCGATCAAGAAGACTGATCATTCTATCAAGTGGATCTGATTGATGATGGTCTTGAACAGTTTACTTGAAAACTTGCTGTCGAGTGTATCAACAGATCGTAAAGTGTTTAGTAAAAGTTTTATAATCGTGTCTATCAGCCAGGTAAAGAGGCAGATTCATAGTGATCCTACTAGTGGACAGTCCCCAAATCAAGTGGATTCAAGCGAGATGAAGCACCCACTGCACATAAGAAACTATATTTATGAGGCTGAATTTAGCATTAGAAAAATTTATGACTTATCAGAAAATCTTAAAATCAAATTTATTCTTGAAAATATAAGTCTGTGCGTTCGAGAGAAAGATGGCTGCAATTGGTCTTATTTTTAAAACTCCTTCGCCTATGTAGATGATCAAGTTGAAATTAGTATTTAGTAGAGCGGGCTGTCATAAACAGATGTCCAATCCAATTGAGCCAAATAACGCTTTTATGCAGCTAATCAAATCGAACTAAATTTCGGTTTTTCTGATTAGTTTCGGATATAATCGACATAGATTATGTCTTCGTTCGATGTTTAAATTTCGAATGAAACACTTTCTATTATAACGGAAGGTTTCAGTCTACTAAGAGAAGAAAGACATATGACGAATATTCTTTATTAATGTTGATAACTTGAAGTCATGATTGTTTCAGCTTGTGGATACTTGATATAGTTGTTGTATTGCTAGCTAATGAGGATGAGATTGAAATGTTACTCGGGATTAGCATTCTGTTTGTTTCCTCCGCTTCAATAACATCTTCAGTAAAATACCGACGTGTTTCTTTAGAAAAGTCATATAATTTAATGAAGAGTTATTGGCGTTCAATGTGTTTCCTTTCAGGTCGAGCTCGGTCTCTGCAAATACTCAGTGTTATGGGTCGATGACAACATCTTTAATGAAGATTGGGAGAACAAAGGACACATGGAGAAAGCAAGTACTGCTGGAGTGGAAATCAACGTTCATTTTATTCCTAAATCAAGTACCGAAACTGCTTTGGCATTCCTTAAATCGCCATTTGGCCAGCGCCTGAAGAATAAAGAGACGTTTAGAATTGTTACCGACATGAATCGATTGAATGAGAAGTCTCCCGATAATGCGGGCGCTCGCTTTCTTGCAAGCGTTCGAGAATTAGGCTTCGATTCAAAATGTCTTATTTTTACAAGAAATGCTACGGAGGCCGAGGAAAAATTGAAACAACAGATCAAAAGCGCTACGCAACGACACGGAATTCAAATCACTCAATCAGTCGATGTTCTTGAGCACTTTGTCAATTTCGACATGTTGGACTCGTTAAAAATTTCAAATGCTTCGAAATCTCTATGCAAACCTAGTTAACAAAACAACCATCTTGTCTACTTTCAAGAATGAAGTATTAACAATGAAAGTAAAGCGATATGAACCATTTTCGATTTTTTTGATACTTAATTAGAAGATCTTTCTAATCAATTTCACGCCTTTTCATTCATTTTCTTCGAGTGATATTATAACAGTTTTTTGTCATCCTTGTTCTGTCTAGGGGTGAGAAGATACCGTTACCGTTCCCGAGTAACGGTCCGGGAACGGTAAATTCCCACTCCTAGTTCTGTCCTATCCTATTTTAAGCGTATCTTTTCATACTTTACACTAATATAATTTTGAGAGTAAGTGATTTCAATAGAAAAAATATATTTCTGAAGCAGCAAAAGAAAAGGGAAAACGCTAAAAATATTCTGGCCGGTTTTGAATACCAACTACACTTTCGTACTGATATCTAAAGGGTGTGGGTGTGGGAGAGTGTGGGTGTGTGGGCGCGGGTATGTGGGTGTAGATGGGTGTGGATGTGGGTGGGGTAGGTGTAGGTGTAGGTGTGGGTGTGCGTGTGGGTGTAGGTGTGCGTGTGGATGTCTGGATATGAGATGGAAAACACCCACACCCACAACCACAACCACACTCACACTCACCCACACCCACACTCATCCCACACCTACCCTTAGGTGCTCATGTCCTATTATATGGAGGTATCTTTAGGTCCTCAAATCCTATTATATCGAGGTACCCTTAGATTCTCATCTCCTATTATATGGAGGCATCCATGGGTCCTCAAGTCCTCTTATATGGATGTACTCTTGGATCCTCATCTCCTATTATATGAGGGTACCCTTAGGTCCTCAAGTCCGATTGTATAGAGATATGCATGTAACAATACCAATACCAGTCAATAACATTTGGTATAGGTATTGGCTGGTATCGGTAGTGGATGTGGTAATTTAAATTATTCACACCCACACCCACACCCACACCCCACCCACACCCACACCCACACCCCACCCACACCCACACCCACCCACACCCACACCCACACCCACACCCCACCCACACCCGCACCTACCCACACCCACACCCACACCCACACCCACACCCACACCCACACCCACACCCACCCTCTCACTGGTTAGTACGACTGCCTGGAAAGCAGTGGGTGCATGGTTCGATTTCCTGCGGAGGAATATTATTCTTTTGTTTCACTCTGTAATAATATCACGTTGCTGTCTCGGTGATATCAGAGTATAATATGAGAATACGAGCAATAAAGAAAAGAAATAAGACATAACACTCATGTTCATTGAGTATAATGTTTCGTTGTGGATATTAGTGGTATATATCGACTTCTTTGTACTTCAATGTTTTGCTCTTTTATCCAGTAACGACCTATCTGATCACCCGGGATTAATTGAATTTTGTCTGTTATATTATGCCAATTACGAAAATCATGGATAGCTCGATTACATTCTGAAATCGAATAGTCATCTATGATAATGACGCCACCAATGTGTAATTTTGAGTATAAATTAAATAGTTGATCCATAGTTGATTCATACATATCGCCATCCATTCGAAGAACAGCTATTTAAGAAATATTACAGCGAGGAAGTGAATCAACAAAATATCCTTTACAAAAATGAACATGATCATCCAGTAAATTAAATGCACGAAAATTCGTTTGAACTTCTTCAAGTGAAACCTAAAGAAATAAATATAACAGTTCATTTCACTCAGGCGATAAAATAAATACTTTCAAATATTCTATTTTCGACCAATTATCATTGTCATTCTGCGTTCTCGCTTTTGGTAATCCTTGAAATGAGTCGGCTAACCATACATGTTTGTCATGATTATTTAATGCTTTTAATACAGCACGAGCAAATATTGAACTTCCACCTCTCCAAACACCGCATTCAATAAAGTCACCCGGAACTTTATTCGAAATAACAAATTTTAATGCCCATTCGATATTTATCAATCGTTTTTGTCCAATCATAGTAATACCAATCAAGGGCCAATCTGAACCTTTTATTCGTTGGTTGATATCCAATGGATGCGTTTGATTATCAATACCAACAGCGTGTTCACTTGTGCGAAGAGTTAAGCCGCATACAGTATCACGAACAACATCGAGATAGGCACGAACTAGGGGATTTTCGTCAGGAAATACAAACAGTTGATTGTCATCATATGAAGTGTTGATCATTCGACGTATATTTGAGGGTTGATGCAAGTTGATCTTTGTAAAACGAGACACGAATGATAAGGAATTGAAGGATCCATTTAAAATAAGAAGTACAAGAATAAATACAAGCGCAACGCTCAATGTAATGCCGTGTGAAAATGACAGAAACGTATTAACTTTTTGGTTGTTTGAAATGTTTTCCTTCATCAATATGAATGATGATAATATCGAATTTTCCACATTTCAATATCCTAAAGACCTACCGTAAACAAAACAAGGAGATAAGATTATAAAGTATCTAAAGAAAGAGTTCGCCAAATGAATGTATTACTCTACCTAAAGAGGGCTCGAGAAAATATTTTATATTTTTTGATTGAGTTATTTCAAAGGCAATGTCTATTCAAACGGCTACTTCTCATTTGCGATCATAATTCAAATAAAATTTTGAAATATTATGAAGATTTTAAATTTTAGTGAATATTAAAATTAAAATCTCAAACTGTTACTTTTTCCAAAACGATAAAATTTAAATTAATTTACTTTTCAAGTTGTCGTTGATCAATGCTTCTATTTGAAAATTTCCACTTTCAACTTAAAATCGCATACAGTTTAGCAAGATACAGAGTTCGCTCGTGTTTTCAATGCAGCTTCTATCTATAGATTTCGGAAGATGTAGAGTTCGCTGTGGTGTTCTATACAATTTCTATTATAAATTTAGGAAGATGAAGAGTTCGCTACTGTTTTCAATGCAATTTCTATATATAAATTTAGGACGATGTAGAGTTCGCTGCTGTGCTCTATGCAGTTTCTATATTTTAGTTTAGGAAGATGTAGAGTTCGCTGCTGTTTTCAATGCAATTTCTATATATAAATTTAGGAAGATGTAGAGTTCGCTAGTGCTTTCTATACAATTTTATATTTAATTTAGGAAGATATAGAGTTTTCTAGAATGTTTAGCATAAATCTAACGGAATGTAAAAAAGATTTAGAAGTGTCGTGTGTAGTTTGTTTGAAGCTAAATGAATGCAGTCTGAAAATGTCACTTCTCATTTTGGAAGATTAGTGTAAGAACACTGCAGCAAAACAAAATTAGTTTCTCATTTCTAGCGATTTGATTCAGAAAGCTTTATCAGGTCTGGATTAATTATGAGTTTTGCTGCTTCACCAAAAAGAAGATTTTATAGGTAGCATGTAGTGTCGAATAAATTGTTGTAAAAAATGCCAATGAAATCTTGTCGCATTTTAAACTAGGTCACTGGAATAGGTTGATCATATGACTTTTTTTTATAAAACCTATTTTGGAACGTAGCAAGATCATAGATTTAGTTTATGTACTATGAATCTTAATCTTAATCTGAATCAGAAACGCTTTTAGGAAGGTGATTTACTTAATTTTCATATTGAAAAACAAACTCTAATATGGCTCGAGCAAGGGGCAAAAAAAAAGAAAGTTTTGATGAAAATCGAACGAAGATTTTGAATTGTTTCTCTAATGTTCCCCAAACATGATTCAATATCCATTCAAAATGTGACCTCGGTGAACGCTAGTTTGAAGAGAACTCGAATACCAACACCTAAATCTTGTCCCGTTTACATTTTTTCCACAGTTTTGGTTGTTGAATAATTATATTTTTCGGTTCCAATTAATTTGTTTTCAATGGACTGTTGACCTTATGTGATTGTAGAAACTAAATGGAGTTCCAATACAAAACAGGCTTATGACGTTCATATTGGTAATTCGGCCTCATGAGCTCTAAATATGATACTTAGTTTAGAAGAAGAAGAGCACTACGCAGTTTAGCGCACTTTACTAATAAGAGCTGAATACATCGAAACTCTGCAAGTATATTTCAAGCGAACTCTACATCTTCCTAAACTAAATATAAAATTGTATTGAAAGCACTAGCGAACTCTACATCTTTCGAAATTAAAGTATAGAAATTGCATAGAAAACAAGAGCGAACTCTACATCCTCCTAAATTAAATATAAAGTTGTATTGAAAGCACTAGCGAGTTCTACATCTTCCGAAATTAAAATATAGAAATTGCATAGAAAACAAGAGCGAACTCTACA